CAAGAAGTAAGTCAAAGAGTAGTTAGTCAAAAAGTAAGTCAAAGAGCAGTTAGTCAAAGAGCAGTTAGTCAAAGAGCAGTTAATCAAAAAGTAAGTCAAAGAGCAGTTAGTCAAGAAGTAAGTCAAAGAGCAGTTAGTCAAAGAGCAGTTAGTCAAAGAGTAGTTAGTCAAAGAGCAGTTAGTCAAGAAGTTAGTCAAAGAGTAGTTAGTCAAAGAGCAGTTAGTCAAGAAGTAAGTCAAAGAGCAGTTAGTCAAGAAGTAAGTCAAAGAGAAGTTAGTCAAGAAATAAGTCAAAGAGCAGTTAATCAAAGAGCAGTTAGTCAAAGAGCAGTTAGTCAAAGAGCAGTCAATCAAGAAGTAAGTCAAAGAGCAGTTAGTCAAGAAGTAAGTCAAAGAGAAGTTAGTCAAGAAATAAGTCAAAGAGCAGTTAATCAAAGAGCAGTTAGTCAAAGAGCAGTTAGTCAAAGAGCAGTCAATCAAGAAGTAAGTCAAAGAGCAGTTAGTCAAGAAGTAAGTCAAAGAGCAGTTAATCAAGAAGTTAGTCAAAGAACAGTTAGTCAAAGAGCAGTTAGTTAAGAAGTTAGTCAAAGAGTATCCAATCTATGAGCAGTCAGTCAATAATATATAATAATATACAGTGGCGTCCGATATGTATTGCTAATAATATACAGAGAGAGAGAGAGAGAGAGAGAGAGAGAGAGAGAGAGAGAGAGAGGGGGGGAGAAAGAGAGAGAGAGAGAGAGAGAAGGGGGGAGGTAGATGGTGGCTTTGGTGGCCTAGTGATTAGGCTGCTAAACCCGTGATCCTGAGATAGCAGGCTCGGGCCTGGTGTTCGAGCCTCAGCTCGGTCCAACATAGTATCATTGAGAAATGCACTTTACAAGAAATTCCTGCTTGGCTCGGTCCTTTTGGGGTTGGACATTAAACTCGGAGGTCCCACCTCTTAAATAGCCTACTAGTGTTGATATGGGCGTTCAACCTATACCATTTCACGATGTTTATAAGCCTATATTAAAGAGTGTCTGACATTATATAACATTATGTTAATACGTAAGTTTCCCTTAAAAGTGATACATCTGTATCCAAGTTTGCTCGCTTTGTTTTTGTAGCCGAAGCAGCCAGCCTCTTAATCCTAAACAAACTTTTTAAGTGGTGTGCTCAGAAAACATTATATGTCAATCGATTCCCCTACCACTGCGTTGCTCCACCAAGCCAAAAGTTCATGGCTTGTGGACCGAAGTTTACATCCCATTACTGCATCTGCAGGCCTACAACTACATGTAATTGTTACGTAGGCATTTTCCTACAAAAGCAGCCATAAACTTGAATTATAAGTTCTGTCTGTCTGTCTGTCTGCCTGTCTGTCTGTCTGTCGGTCTGTCTGTCTGTCGCTCTCTTTCTCCCCCC